CCTCATTGTGTTTTACTCCACACACACACACTGCATTTGTAGGTCTTGTAGATTCGAGCATTTATATTTGACGGCCTGCTTGCTGCCTAGTGTTTGATGCGCTCCTAAGTACTTGCACTTATATGATTGTGTTTAATTATGTCTCTTTGGTCTTTCTACAACAACCATATTGAACCTGGTCTATTGATGGAAACCACTTATGCAGCACTTGTATCGCGGTCGACTTGTACGATTGAATTGTCGGGTTTTTTTTTCTCTTTTCCTCACTTATGAGTCACTCGGAATAAATATAAGCATCCGGCGAATGGATAAATGTATGTGTGCATACGCAGTGTAGCCTCGGATTCCTTTCCCTCTTTTTTTTTTTTGGCTGATAAGAGTTCTGAGGTGCTTTTTTTTGCTCACCACGATGGTAAAGAGTGGTTATTTGAGCTAGCGTAGCCTTTCTGTCAGCGTGAACGAGTCTGGCCGATATCCTTTGACCTCTCTCATCAACAAGCAGATGCGCACAGACACGTTTGAACGTTTAGCACGTTCGCCTCAGACCTCCAGGGTCGGGGGTTCGATTCCCACCGTGGACCTGTGTGTGCGGAGTTTGCATGTTCTCCCCGTGCTGCGGGGGTTTCCTCCAGGTACTCCGGTTTCCTCCCCCGGTAGGCTGATTGGCGTGTCTAAAGTGTCCGTAGTGTATGAATGGGTGTGTGAGTGTGTGTGTGTGTGATTGTGCCCTGCGATGGACTGGCACCCTGTCCAGGGTGTTACTCCGCCTTGTGCCCGATGCTCCCTGGGATAGACTCCAGGTTCCCCCGCGACCCTGAAAAGGAGTAAGCGGTAGAAGATGGATGATTTGATGCATTGCGCTGCTGCGACATGATTGGCCGATTGGATCGTTGCATGTATAAACCGGTTACTGGCGAGTGTATACACTTGCCGTGAAGAGAATACTAAAGAATCTGAAGGTTGTTTGCATACGTGCTTGCCCTAAAAATATTATTATTGCGGTTATCGTCTTTTTATTGTTAATAAAGGGCTCTTGAATATTAAAAAAAACCCAACAATGATAGCTTTGGTCAATAGGGAATTCATTGCTAAGGAGTAACCAGAACATGAGGGTCAATCAGTAAAGTTCTCCGACGACTCAAGGTCAGGACTTCACCTTTGCATTCTGGCACCTCCGCAGGGATCTGAGGTTTTCCCATCTTGTCACTTCCAGCCTCCAGCATCGAGCCGTCGTTCCCCCAGACAGGAAGCGCGAGAGCCAGGTTTGTCCAGGTGCCAGGGCCATGCAGCAGGGCATGAAGGTCAAGCAGGAGCGTCAGAGCGGAGGTGGATGTTCCCCTGAAGACAGATCCTGTCAAGATCCTCGCTAGCCTCCTGCCACGGGAGCTGACACATACGTCAAGTGCCTGAGGCCTGCGAGATACCTCACTGGTACTTCTTATCATTCTGCAATCGTGCTATCTCTTTTCTTTTCTAACTCTCCCCCTCACACACACACACACACACACACACACACACGCTCTCCCTCTGTGTATATCTTTATGTTGGGTTTTTTTCCCCCCTCTTTCAATTTCATTTCTTTTTGTAAATACATGTTTTTATGTACTGGCTCTCTGAGACTAGACTAGAAAAATAGCAATAACATTTAACTTAATAATGAAATAAACAAGCCCGCTGCTCAGTGACTATAAGAAAGCCTCGATCCCAGCACATATCCGCTTTTAACATTCTCGCCAACACATCATATAATTTATTATTCCTCTCTCTCTCTCTCTCTCTCTCTCTCTCTCTCTCTAACTTTTCTACTATTTGAAATGATCTTTTAAATATTTTGGGATTTGTTTTGGGTTTTTTTTGCCTGGAAGTTGTAGTTTATTGTAAGAAGAATTTAAAAAAAAACAACAACCAACATTGCCTTCCTGCAAAAAAATGAAATAACACTCATTTATGGCTGAAAGGTCAAGAGAAAAATAGCATAATAATGACAAAATGGCCTGTAGTTAATAGAGTCGGCGACTATAGAGGAGGGTTGAACAAATAAATAGACATACAACACCATCAATTGATCCCAGGGGATGGTTAAATGCATATAAATGTTTGCGCATATGTAAGCTCATCTGTAGCACAGCGGGAGACTCGCGGAGAGGGAGAAACAGAGGGAGCTTGGATGGAAGTGCAAAGTTTCTTCATTAGAGTTAATCAGAGAGACACAGTCAGAATCGATGGCGAAGTGATATGCTCGCTGTTTAAGTGGTTAAAGTGGTGAGAACTCTGTTGCCGGGCAACTGGAGGAAAAAAAACAACAACAAAAAAAAAAACAAACAGATTCCAAGCATAACCTAGTTTATGAGAAAGATTGACTAGCTATCTAGCACATAGAAGTTAAAACTGTGGAAGACTAGAAAGGCGGAAAACGAGGCGAGACCTCAGGAAAGAACGCTTCCCTCAGATGTGTTGGGAAAAGTAACGTGTCTGAGGATCCGCGCTATTCGTGAAGTCTTGCTAGCAAGATTTCCGCTTGGGAAAAGTGTGGGTCGTTCATATGGAATCTTCTAGTAAATATTATGAACACGATCGGTAAATAAATAAATTAAGCAACAGGTTAACCTGAAAAGCCGATCATATGATAACACGGGAAACCCATAGACATCAGGCAAGCGTCAAGACCCTGGACTTTTGCCGTAATATTTCATTTGCTGGTGCGGAGCTAGAATCAGGCGACCTAATGGCTCAATTTATTGAATAATTCGTGCTGATTAGAATTTTAATCTAGGGAGAAGACGTCCCATCATCTGATCTTCCAAGGTTCACATTGTTTTACCAGGGTTAAAGTTTCACACAGTCTATATACACTAGATGAACTCAGCGTGAAGCAATAAAACCTTGGAGTGTGCTGTTCTAGGATAATAATCATAATTACCAGCGATAAATGAACGTTATGTAATGTTCTGAGAAAAGTTCCGTCTGGAACGCTTCGTTTTGTGGTCCTGAAGACGTTTGGAAACGTTACAAAGCGCTGACACTGGAGACTCCTTCCATGAAGGTTACAGAAACGTGAGCATACCATAAAGGTGGAGCCGGATATAACATGTAATCCGGAGACTTCTGGGATTAAAACTTTATCATTTAAAGTAGATGAAAAAGAATTTAGCCTGAATTTATCTTGGGCAATACAGCAGGATCATATCGGTGTTATGTCAGGGCCGACAGATAGCCACGTCAAATAGCGGGGATTCAGATCAATGTTAAGATTAGATCGATAGAAGAGAAAGACGCATGTGTGCGATATTTTTACTATGAAAAAAAATAAATAAAGGCGGATTGTCGAATGAGTCATCGTATCAACCTTGCTCAAGGTTGCTCAGTTGATCTATTCTCATTCAGGCCCACTTACACTAATCATAATCAATCCAAACATATTGGAGAGGCTGTAGAGCATTTCAAGTCGGAGAATAGTTTTCGTATCCGCCTTCAAATAAAAATAAAAAAAACCCCAAAAACAACAACAAAAAAAACTTGTTAACAATAAAAGAAGCTGGAGCCATTTAAAAACAACAAAAAAAAAGAAGTCGACCTTCTTGAACGTTTCATTTTAACACGCCGGTTCTCAAATCTGAGAAACTTTTGTTTCCTTTAGAGGAAGGTCAAATAGTATTTTCAAGCGCGCACGCACACGCGTATAGAGCAGTGGAGAGAATAAAACACTCTGTAGTGCCATTTGAAATGTTTTGCACTTATTAAGAGTTGGCTGAGTGGTTCTGTGGCGAGCGAGGTCACTCCGGAGTTCACTCACTCAGTAAAGACGCTATTTAAACGCGGCCGGCGAGAAAGACAGGGCAGCGAGATGCGATGGATTCGTATGATCGGACTAAAATGACATCGACATGAATTTGATTTTGAAATTAAAAATGGTCCATTAGAGAAATGGTAAATAGGTTGTTTTGGCTCACCGGGGTTAAGTAAGGTAGAGCGAATGGTGTCTAATGAAGCATTTGAATGTAACTGCTGAGAGAGAGAGAGAGAGAGAGATGGGGGGAGAGGGAATGGCAGGGTTGGACCTGGGTGTTAGACTAAGGAGTGTCCCACAACTTAAGCTGATTACACTGATTGTGCATCAGCTTAAGATAGAAGGAGGACGAGACTAGCACCGGGGTTTGACCTCCGCAGGATCCTCTAGCTCCACCATTGTCCTCCAAACGCTGAAACCGTGAGGAGCATGTTTGAGCAAGAGCTCATGGGCTCAGGCAGAACACTGCTGGAGAACACTTGATCACTTATTAAAAAAAAACAAAACCTAAACGAGGAGGCTGAGGGGGGAAAAAAGAGGAAAGGAAAGCAGGATTGGGTGCTCTTAATTAAAAAGGCAATAAGGCTTGCAGATGTTTCCTCAGCTGCTTTCGTTCCCGCGGAACTTTCACACATGATACCGAAGCGACGATAAAACATATCTGAGAATTCTTAAAAGCTAAAGTGAAAAATAAAACTCAATGTCATTTGCATAATCTTTAGAAACGTCACAAAAAAAGTCAACAAATCACAAAAGTTGCTGTGAAACCCCCGTAATTATTCCCGGTGCCACTAACTGCCACAGAGTTGGTCTGCGTGCACGTCAGAATAAATTCTGGAAGGCCCTAGGGTTTGTAAGACATACCTAAATAAAACAGAATCGTGAACACCAAGACGCTATCAAAACTGGGACAAAGTTCTAGAAAAGGATCAATAAGGGTTTGATTACAGCAAAATAGTCCCAAACTTTGAACAACCCGTGAAGCAGCGTATAAGGAAAAGTGGAAAGCGGGAGGCCGTCCACCAAAAGTCAGTGACAATGATGCTATCACCACCATGTTTCACTGCAGGGATTTCAGCTCCGAGTTGAGGTGGGTGAATAATTATGCAAGCCAGATCATTTAAATACGCTTTTAAATCTACATAATTTATTTTATTTAATTAGTCCAATTAAACAACGACAACAATGTTCTATTATTATATAATATATACTATATCCAGTGGCTTAGTGGTTAGCATGTTCGCCTCACACCTCCAGGGTCCGGGGTTCGATTCCCATCGGGGAATCGTGTGTGTGTGGAGTTTGCGTTTCCTCCAGGTACTCCGGTTTCCTCCCCCAGTCCAAAGACATGCATGGTGTGTCTAAATTGTCCGGTTTGTGCCCTGCGATGGACTGGCACCCTGTCCAGGGTGTACCCCACCTTGTGCCCGATACTTCCTGGGATAGGCTCCAGGTTCCCCGTGACCCTGAAGAAGGAATAAGCGGTTGAAGATGGATATACTATATCCAATAAGATAAGGTGAGGTGTAGTGTCCTATCGTTCGCTCTTGTCCCCCAAGCCCCCCCCGATTCAGCTCTAAATATATACGAATTTCATACAAGGGTCTAATGAATAATTGAACAACATTTCTTGACTCATTTCTACCAACGTGGCGGAAAAGTTTTAATGAATTTTGGAGTGGACTTCTGTAACGAAACAGAATTCCGTGCATCATCCAGCCAACACGTCCGCAGCTAGCTAATCATATTGTATCACATCAAAGTGTTCCAGCAATTTGTGAGATCGGCGCTGGTATTTAAGAGCGCGGTGTTTAACAGGAACATCCCCGAGCACAGCTCAAGGACTGCCAGCGCAGATCCAAGCTCCAGTCCTGCTGCTTGGCATCTGATGAAAAGTGGGCCTCGCTTAATTAAAATGCGCACAAGCTGAGCAAGCTTCATAATTTATCCATAACAGCGGATTGTAAATAATGATCCCCGCGCTAAAGAGACTCGAGTGTGAAATATTCATGCTCGACTGATTTAGGGCTGCTTGTGTCCTTTTACCGAGTCCCAGTGGTGTAGTGCTAAACTCTAGCCGAACCCGATGCACTCCTCTCGAGTAGAAATTAGTCGACTGACATCAGGGTTGTTGACGTGTTTGCTCGAGTGTCCAGAACTTCCACTTGCGATGAAGTGCTAGACGACGGCAATAAAAGCACGAGCCCGGATCAAAAGACGGACTCATGTCAACAACGGACATTGTCTCAAAGGAGCTTTACAGAAACATATAAACGCAGGATAGAGATTTTCAGTGTGTGAGTTTATCCCAATGAGGGAAAAACTCCCTGAGATGATATGAGGAAGAAACCTTGAGAGGAACCGGACTCGGAAGGGAACCCGTCCTCATCTGGGGCACAATAGATAGTGTGAAAGTAAAAGAACGTTCGTTATGGTGTTTATATGAAGTCTGTTTTGTTGAACTAGTCCACTGTTCACTAAAGGAGACCCGAGTGTAAAGCTATATGTGTTAAACGCAGTCCCACGGCCATCGCCGCAACCGTAGTCCCAGCAACCACAGCGAAAACGTCCATGTAGAATTGCGGTCCAGAACCATTTCAAGCGGTACCGTCCTAATCAATCTCCAGGCTGCGGAATCCAGTATTATTATTATTATTGTTATTATTTTCCTTACACGCATGCCACAGTGCGTTTTATTCCTTTTACACCAGTGATTTAAAAACGTCATACTTTTGATCTGTTTATAGTTACATTCGACATCGTGTAACATCAAACATCGGCGAAACAAGTTATTTTCTGTTTTCTTTGTTACTACTTTGTCACGTTCTCGGCTGTAAAAGCTTGCAGTCACGCAGATGTACGACAAGTCTGATGTTTTCGCTAATTAGCGTGCTGGAGTGCATTAAAAAAAAAAAACGTGGTTTGGCACAACACGATCTCTTTCCCCCGTGCCTCTGTGACGCCTCTTTTTTTTTTTACTCTAGGCAGCCTTCAAAAGGATGAGGCTAAGGGAAAAGAAACCAACCATCACATTTTTTTTTTTCTGTGTTCTGTGCAGCACACTTCTTAGCGTGCTTTTAAGACAAGTTCGCTTAAGGTTAAGGGGAAGGAGGAAAGCAGAACGAGGAACGTGCTGGCAACCGATTTGCACGTCGGGTCTAACAGGTTAGCTTTTTGTACGCTTTCGTTACTTCGTTGTGGGTTTTTGGGGCTTTTTTGTTACCGTGATTGCGCATCACTGTGTGATTGTGTGATTGCGTAATTGGGAGATTTTAAGTGTTAGCATTGGGCGATTCAAGGCTTGTGTGTGATTAAGAGTGTGAGCGTACCTTTGTGTGATTGCAAAAGGGTATGCTTGTGCGTGTGTGTGTGTGCGTGTGTGTGGTGGGTGTGTGTGGTTCTCTGTGGGAGGTTAAAGCTTGAGGTGCTTGTTTGTTAGTGTAAGGCATCTGTTCTGGATATCAGAGGGAGGAAAAAAACAAAGCTTCTGGCACAGAACACTCCACCCTCCCTCCCCCACAAACACAAACACACGTACGCCAATTATGAAGCTGCTGTGGGTCGAGAACGCGAGCGTTATGCGTTGATTAGCTGTGTGATTTGCGTGTATTCTGATTTATCTCCATCATTGATTTTACATCACCGCCAACACTGAAAATTAGTACGTGTACGTGTTAAGGTCAGGTCGGAGGAAACTCACAGATGTTAACGTTTCACACCGGATACTGCTGATCTGCAGTCATTTCGCCGCTCGTTACACCACTGACGGTGGAGTCAATAAGACTCTCTCATGTTTTCCACACGTCTCCTCACGCGGCTGTTCGGAGGCTTAAATCGACTCGACATCATCTCAAACGTTATGGAAGAACGCAATCCAAGTGTTTAAAGGAAATCTAAGAGTATGAACTAGTCACCCAGTCACGCATGAGACATTGTTAGATGTAACCACGAGTAGAATCGAAGACAAGGATAGTATTTATTTATTTATTTATTTATCTATCATTGACGGAATGGAGTCTCCAGTGTCAGCGCTTTGTAGCAGTATGTTTTTCCACCACAGGAAAGTGTTTCTTTTTTTTTTTTTTGTCTCAATAACTTCAAGAGAAAGTTTATAGCGAGTTGAGTTGATGCCAAAGAGCTCCATTTCGGTCTCATCTGACCACAACACTTTCACCCAGTTGTCCTCTGGTGGTCAGAGGAGACCAAAATGGAGCTCTTTGGCATCGACTCAACTCGCCGTGTTTGGAGGAGGAGGAATGCTGCCTATGACCCCAAGAACACCATCAACACCGTCAAACATGGAGGTGGAAACATTACGCTTTGGGGGTGTTTTTCTGCTAAGGGGACAGGACAACTTCACCACATCAAAGGGACGATGGACGGGGCCATGTACCGTCAAATCTTCGGTGAGAACCTCCTTCCCTCAGCCAGGGCATTGAAAATTAAAAGTAATTACTAAGTCATTACCAAGTACTAAGTCATGTTTTGCAGAGGGGGTCAAATACTTATTTCCCTCATTAAAAAGCAAATCAATTTATAACATTTTTGACATGCGTTTTTCTGGATTTTTTTGTTGTTATTCTGTCTCTCACTGTTCAAATAAACCTACCATTAAAATTATAGACTGATCATTTCTTTGTCAGTGGGCAAACGTACAAAATCAGCAGGGGAACAATACTTTTTTCCCTCACTGTAGGTTCAGTAATGTCACTGATAAGAGGACGTTGTTTCGCAGAGGTTTCACAATATGACGTAAAAATAAACGGATAAAAAATATTTTTTTTGGACAATTTTAAGACAGAAAATGAATAGCATTGAATATCAATATATAACATTATAATGAAAAGCAAATATTCCAAACAGCCAACCTTTAATTTGTGGTGAAAGGCAATTAAAAATTCTCAGATCGGAGGACCTGGCAACATCACGGTTACTAAGAAGCAGAGGTTTAATAAAACCATCTCTGCACATACCCTCAGCCCATTTCCTCTTAACAATGTGTATAATACAAAGTTTCAATTAAACTGCTTAGGGCCACATTTGCATACTGGATCATGATTGGCTCTTATTTTGAATGACGCAACAATACTTCCCTGTTACAGGTTCAGACCGTAACGGATTTTTCTATCCCTTGTGTTCTGTAGTGCCATTTTTCACACTTTGACCTTTAGACATAAGTAAAATGAGTTCCCTCAAAAGTATTTAACCCTTTACTGCATGATGTTGCCATATGGCAACAATGAATTATCTCCAATGTGTGTGATAGGCAATGATACAAAACTACTGTTTTCCTATTCAAGTTTAAGATTGACCTCTGGAAAGTCACGTTAAGATTTTCGTAGTATATGATTACAGAGAAATGTAGTTATGAGGAGAAAGTAGCGATCAAAGTCAAAAGTATTAGGTGAAAAAAAATGGAGCTACGCGAGCTCGCGAAGGCTACATAATACCCGCTAACGTCTGACTTGTCAAACAAGCTGCCAACCCGCTTTTGGACAGAGAAGCCTCACTGAAATTGAGACCTATTGATTTGCTGTCAGTTCATTTAGCGATGAGACTATTCATTCTCGTCCAACAAAATAATGAGCTTGTGTTTAGCGACACAATTTACTTGTGGGCTAGCGACCAAAAAAACATCCCCCCCCCCAAAAAAAAATAAAAACCTGAAACATGGAAAAATGCAGATGAAATATGGCAGAATGGTGAACTGTAGCGTCTAAGGCCATGGAGAAGTGGTGATTATGGGCTCATAAGAGGTATTTTTAATCACCTTAGCTGTGTGAATATGAGCCAGCGACTCCATCTGCTCGGTTTCTCTTCAGTGGCCTTGATGAAGGCAGGAAAAGCTAAGCCAGGATTAGCCAGAAGCATACCTTTCTCTCACCTTATTACTTTCCATATTAGAGAGTCCTCTTTTATTTAGCTTTACACAAGAATTTCTTCAATAACATAGACGACTAGCTTGTTCAAACGTATTAATCGCCAAATTTGTCTCGGCTAGTTCAAGATTTCTGGAAGAACGCCCGGCAATTCTTCCTCCACAGGCAATTAATATACGACTTGATATGAGGCCGGTGTGAAAGCACAACACAATGCAAACCCAGATCACCTCCACGCAAGCACTGGCCGTGAGAAACGCCATCTTGTGTAGCGTAATAGTCCATATTTACTGTACACAGGAATTCACACACGGTTCTACTGTAATCTTGGATATATCTCAGGTATGTTCATGGTTGCCACTACAGCTTTAAGTCAGTTGCTATGTTTAGACATGTATAATATAACT